CATTATGGTTAGCAATGAATGTTTATGGCTAATTACGATGGTTAAAGGATGATGATGATGTAACGTAAAGTTGGTGCCGACTCTTAACAACCACTTAGATTTCTCCAGGATGGTCTGTCCTTGAACTTGTCCTCCAGGCTTTCCACTGGTGCACCCATCACCGCTATATTTGAGGCCCTCCATCTGCGGATCATCCCCTTTTTCTTTTTCCTTCCACCTTTCCCAGCATTATAGACTTTTCCAGAGAGCTAGGTTTTTACATAATGTGTCCAAAATATGATAATTGGAGCCTGATAACTTGTGCCTTAAGTGAATATTCTGATTGATTTGTTCTATGATCCATTTGTTTGTTTTCTTGGCTGTCCATGGTATTCTCAGAGGTCTTCAAAAGTGTCAATATTCTTTCTATCCTGCTTCTTCAAAGCCTGACTTTTGCTTCCATGAAGTTACTGTACAGGGGAAACCCTTGCCTGCATCATTCTGATCTTTGTGTAGACATTTACAGTATCAGAATATCTTTTCCAAGGCTTTCATTGCTACTGTACCAATATGCTGCAGACTGTACCAAGTCTGCAGCATATTTCTTGACTGCTGGTTCCTTTACTGTTGGTAGTTGATCCTAAAAGTTCATTCATCACTTCAATAACTTCATTGTTAATTTTATGACTGGTTGCTGCAATTTTTGTGGTTAATTTGGTCTTTTTATACTTACTTTTAGTCCCATTTTTCACTGTACCTCTTAACTTTACTAGAACTTGCAGATCATTTGCATTTTTGGCTATCAGAGTTGTGTCATCAGTGTAGCACAGGTTATTGATGTTTCTTTCTCCAGTGTTAAAACCACAATCCTTCCAATCCAGCTTCCTCGATATATAATCAGCATATAGTTTGAATAAGTAGAGAGTGTACAGCCTTGTCTTGTCAGCCTTTGCTGACCTGGAACCAGTCTGTTTCACCATGTTCCATCCAGACTGTAGCTTCTTGACCTGTGTATAGATTTTGCATTAGGACAATGACATGTTCTGGGATTCCCATTTTCCTAGGTACCCTCCATAGCTTGACATGGTTAATACAATCAAAAGCCTTTCTATAATCAGTGAAGCACATATTCACTTATTTTTGGTATTCTTTGGCTTTCTCAATTATCCAGCATGCATCAGCGATAAGATCTGTTGTTCCTTAGCCTTTTCTAAAACCAACTTGAACATCTGGCATCTTCTTGTCCATGTAGAGCTCTAATCAGTGTTGAATGATATTAAGCATTATTTGCTAGCAGATTAAATTAAGAATAATATGCAATAATTTGCACTGTCTGTTAAGATTCCTTTGTTTGTATTGGCATGTAGATTGACCTCTTTCAGTCTGTTGGCCACTTGTCATTCTCCAGATTTGTTGATATAGTTTGGTTAGTACCTTTACTGATTTTTCTTCTGTTGCTTGCCATATTTCTGTAGATACTACATCAGCTCCTGTAGCCTTATGACTTGGTAATGATTGGAATGCTGATCTATCTTCATTTTCTAGTGTTAGAGGTTCTTGTGAGCAGGGAATATTTTCTTAAGTGTCTTGGGTATTGTCATCTCTACTATACAGAATTTCAGTATATTTCTTTGTTTGATCTTTTCTGAATCAGTAACTTTGAATCAGTTGCTACTTTACTCTCTGAATCAGTTATAGTCCATTGGCATTCTTTAGCAAACCAGTTTGAGGTTGGAACCACCTTCTGAGATCCTTCAAAAAACTTTCCTAGTTTTTCCAGTGTCTGCTTTCATCTTGTATGTCTTTATAGATGTCATAATTCTGCTTCTTTTCTCTTCTAAGGAGTGAAAAAATAAAAGGAGGCTTTTCTAAGATTTCTTCTCTGTGTCAAAAGTGGGAACCCTTTCACACAATATAGCAGACAAGGAGAAATTAATTTTGCTCCAACTCCTCCAGAGTGATTTCTAGCTAAAGCCAGCCACTTCTAACCCCAGGACAGATTAAATTGAGTTGTTTGCATAACATGCCAAATTCAACCACTCCCATCTGCACCCCAATCCAATTAAGCTTCTTATACGCACCCCAACCCAATTAAGCTTGTTGAACAAACAGGGCCTACTGTACCCTCAGAAACATTTCAAAAGAAGCAACTCTTTCATGTTGGCAGAAAAAGATAGCAAAAATGATTGGAATTGAACTGCTAGCCACAAGATTCTGGAAAGATAGAAGGTGTTGTGCCTTTAATCAGAAGAAAGGACAAGATATTTCACAGTGCTATTAATTTTCACACTTTGATTTGAAAGAAACTCACATCGTTGCCCATAGCCAAACTATGTGTGCACCTCAGTTCTGTGAAAATGCAGGAAAAAACACAAAAAGGGATGTGTGAGAAAGAACTGGGCTTTCATGAGGATAAAAAATTCTAGCTTTTGTGGGCCTTTATGTTGTACTGTAGTGTCCTTTCATTCTTTCATCTTGAACTTGTTCCAAGAATTCTTTGCTATTGAATAGAAATAATGAAATGCATTGAATAAAAATGATGATTACATATGATTCTTTATGCTTGAGCTGGGGAAACTGGTTCTACAGTTGATTAACCAGTTCTCAGCAGTTGCTTGCCAAAATGGTGACAGACCACTGGGAGTTATAATCTGCAATATTTGGAGGACCAGAGACTCCTATCCTTGATGTAGGTAAAACCTGCTAGAATCTTACAAGCCAGAGAAGACGATGAACAGAGTTTAATAGTCACTAGCAATGCGCTTGATTTGCATAACGCAAAGAGGTCTGAAAGCTTGGGCCTGCCCATGTGTGAAGGCTTTTTATTTCTAATTTATGTGGATTTGATGTGCACCCAATCTTGTTCTGTAAATGTAGTTCAGATTTCTGCAATCTGGACTTTCCAGATGTGATTATTTCTACTCTCATAATTTCATCGTACCTGGAGAAAATGAATACTTATCTTTTTATTCATGGAATAAAAGGGGGGGGGCAGACATTCTAATACTTCTTGCACAAAAATCAACATTTTTTATAGCAAGGAGTCCTTAATTTTACTGTAGAGAAACAGCTGCCCTTCATGGTTACCTGTGCCTCATTTTCAATTCCAGGCTCTCATCTAGAAACTTGTGGAAAGTTGATCATTGTTAGCTGTGGATATAAAATTTCTTACCCTTTAATCCTTTATTGGATATCCAACAAGACTTTGATATAACACTATAAACTGAGCATTATTGTGCCAACTAATTAAGTTGCGTCAGGATAAAGTAAGTCCCACCCACCCCCTTTTGCTTTGCAGAAATGGCTACCTGGATGCTCAGAATCTCCAGCGCTTGAGCCTGAAGCTAAAAGAAGTGAATGTTGGATGAAGAAACATGTGCCTACAAACACTGTCAAATGCAGAGAACTCCTAAGCTTCCGAAGCCAGGAATCATCATCCCTGATTGGCACAACCAATGTCTCAAGGATCTTTTTTTTCCAACCATGGAGGCATGGTACACAGACCACATTTGGCAAGGCAAAGTGAGAGTGTAACCCATGCAAAATTGACAAAAAACTGATCTATTTACCCAAGCCTTAATTTTAACTTAACAATTGGTGATATCTACAGATGGGACCAGGCTACTCAATTTCCCAGCTTTCAGGGCTATCTTTCTTCCTGTATGTCCAGCATTTCTGTGGCTTCCCCTTGCTTTCTACCACCTTAACAGCATCTACAGGCACTGGCGTGCCTTCCTTTCCAAAGATCTCCCTCTCTGCAAATAATTCATCTATCAGAAAGACAACTTTTCAGACAAAAGAATTTTTGACATGACTGCTCTTCCAGAGAAGTAGCCAAGTGCACACAGACAGTGTTTGGGTTTCAAAGAGTCACATGAGAGGATTGTAACACATGGTTAAAGTTGCTTTGCTAGCATCTTGTGATGCTTTAGTTATCTGGATCATTATATTCCTCATAATATTCATCAGAGTCTAAGGGAATTTCCCCCACTTTTTTTTTGTTTAATTAAAATGTATGTCTATAGTTGCCTTTGGATATTGTGCTGAAAGGGGTAGATATAAGCAATTATGCAAAAGAGGAAAGAAGTTGCTCTTCTGAGTGAAGAGCATGATGCCCCAGTGCAGAAATTACTTTGAAAGTACAAGAAGATGATATAGGAAGCATCTGTGCATCTGATCTAGTATCATGCTTGAAATCACACTGTGACATTGGAACAGCAGCTGATGCAAGCAGAATTAGGGACGCTTTTCAGGCTTTTACATGTTGAGACACTGACTCCAGAAAGAGAAGAAAGAAGAAACACAAGCATTCTTCATTCCTCTCCCCAGTTATCCCTGCTAGTAACTCTGAGTTTCCAGGAGAGTTGCAAATAAATGAGTTTCTGCTTCTGTGCAAAACTTGCTGCTTTATTCAGAGCCTCTCCCACTTTCTGCAAGGACCAGGCTTCAGGTAACAAATCTTGCAGAGATTTTGTTTTAACATGATCTTAACCTCCTACTGCAGCATGGTTTAAAGAAGAAGGCCTTTAGAAAGTTCCAAGTTGGATTGTAATATGTTCAGAATGCAAAGGCATATAAAAATGTCCTTTTCTCCTCCAAACCCATAACTCTATAACTTTTTTTTTTTTTTTTTACCTTTTCAGGAAACTGTTATATACACCAAATAACCCAAAGTCACGTGCAGGAAATTTGCGGCCCCTCAAGTGTTGCTAAACTACAATGTCTAGCAGCTACCAACAGCGTGACCAATAGTGAAGGACTCTAGAAGCCAAGTTCCTCTACTCCTGTGGGCCTTTCTTCACATACAGTTGTTGTACAGCACTTGTCATTTTGATTACCCTCTTGTTTAAACTTGGTTGGCAGACAAGATATATTCCAGGCAGTTGTATCAATTCCTCCATTCCTCCTGGGTCTCTGGGAAGTTCTCAGAAAACAAATAACAACTTTGCCATCAGCTGGCAAAGTCAGCACACACAAACCTATGAAAGAATAGGGAGATGAGAATCACAAGACAAATTTTATCATTTTTGTTATGCTTTTAATGGAACACCCAGAAAACACATAAGGCATATGGTAACAGTAGGCAGACTAGCAATTTCATGTCTGAATCTGTAAACAGCATTGGCACATTTGCTTTGTTGACACACACGTACACGCACGCACACATGCAGGCGCAAGCAGAAGAGGACTTCTTTTCAAACACCATAGAGAGACTTGAGAAAGCATCTTGAACCATAAAGACACACAAGCTGCTTGTGAACCACCCGAAGGAGAGGCAGTGGGACAAGTGCCGCCACCAGCTGCGAGGGGGCTGTGCAGCCTGCCCTCACTGCCAGCTGCCTTCTCCTCATCAGCATCACCCTAGCATGGGGAGGGGGAATCTATTTGGCAACAGTTGTGGTTCCACAGCTGGCTCTAGCTGCAGGGCCAGGATATCCATGGCTTGGCATTCAAGCCTACATCACACTAAAACGATCATGCAAATAAAACAGCCTGCCTTGACAAAGGGAGAGCTTTTCCTGCCTCTGAAACACCCACAATTACCTTGACTTTAGCTTTCTTTGCTAACATTTCTCCCAGTGGTGAGTAATACTCCTTTTGGGGTTTGGTGAGCCAAGCCTAACACAATGCCAAATGGGACTTTAAAACAAAAAGAAAAGCTAACTGATGATAATGGAGAGAAAATATTTCAAATGAGATTTTTATTTTACAGACTTAGGTTAAAAAAAACAAAACAAAGCAAATCTTAAAGAAATAGCAGACACTATGAAATGTTTACCTCTGGACTCAGAATTCTGAAATGTTGAAATATGAGGGACAGTTGAACTAAGTCATCCTGACAATCAAAGATAAGAGCGGGTCTATAAAAGGAGTGTAAAGGGAGTTATTTCACTCTCTCTGTGACCTTCCCCCCTAAATTCTATGCTCTCTATAATTGGGAATGTTATTAAAAAATGAGAGATTTCATTCATATAGGAAGTTTTTTTAAAAAAAATCTCTCTACAGGTATTTCATCTCCAACAGAAAAACAAATGAAGCCCAACTCTGATGTTAATTTTGGCACATTGCAAATCATTTCCCTGAGGGAGCTTTGCCTTCATCCCTTTCACTTCTTTATTTGAGGGGGTCCCTAAAGAAGGGGAGCTGGTATTAACTGCCAGATCAAGTTGCTGTAGCTGCTGTGTAAGAGGGCCGCTATTAGTTCATGCCACCGAGGGCCCACTTCAGCCCTATGAAACAGGTTTTGCAAAAAATGCTCTTTGGGCCTTCAGTAATGTTCAGGGTACACGTTGCTTAAAAGCTCACTGAGCAGGACATATGGCACTTTTTCAATTAAAGTGCTCCATCTTTGGCCCTTCGTGTCACCCATACGTATGGCAGTCTATGCAGCATCATTTTGGAGTTGTATCAGCTACCTTGAACTCTGCAACAAAATCCATCAAGAAAGGCTTCTTGTGATAAATATTGTCCTTGTATTTTGTTTTATGGACAGTTCAAGAAAACACCTTATTTCTCCCCCCACCCCACACATTTTTGTCCTTGAAGTTAAGCACATTGTTTTAATCGGTTAAGACCACTTATTTTAATTTTAAAAGGATGGGGAGTGATGGTCAAGGGGCTTTATTATTACAAATGGCCCATAAAACCATTGTCTGAAACACACGCATGCATGCATACAGACACACACAGTCAAGTTGCAAAATAAAAGGGATGATACAAAGTTCAAGGTTACAGTATTAATCAGCAAGGCAACAAAGAGCATAGTTATAGTGCTTTAAAATTTGATGTTTTCTGTATAAAAGAACTACAGCTTACTGAGTAGTAGTAAGACAAATCAGCTTTAACTCCAGCACAAAGGCAAAGATCTCTTCTGTTCAGGAGGAACATTGGAAAACTGTCAGATTCCAGCATGAGAAAGCAAGGTTGCAGGAAGGGAACAGGATATCTCTTGCTGCTGCTTTGGGTTAAGAACTGTTTTTCTTTTGGGGTGTGTTTGCAAATACATGAAAAGCTATATTTGCCCCATCTCTTCCCAAAGGCACTGGAGCACACTACAGGAAGGGGCTGGTTATCTCTCACCAATGGGCAGTTCCACAAATTATACCAAGAACAGAATTCAGATTCTCCATATTTATCATTTGACAGAGGTTCATTAAGCCAGACATCTACTCAATTTAAAAAGTAGTTTTCAGCCATTAAGATTCAGAAACAATGGTCAGGAGACTTAAACAACATTTTCACAGTACCATGCAGAAAATGTCCCATGGCTCAAGTAAGGAAGGATGAGGCTATCTAGGAGAACTCTGTGTCCATTAATAGAATCAGAATTTATGCATTTCTGCAACAATTCATCCTCTTATGTAGGTGTCCTCATTGATTAAAGAACAGAAGCCATAAATATATTTCATACTATTTTCTTGGAGTGGGGCACTCTTTTTAAACAAGTCAACATTGGCAAAGGCTTCTTGAATTAGACCTTACTCACTGTTTGGAACAAGGCACAATAAATTGGGAGTAACAATGCAGCATATAAGTTCTTTTAAAGGCAAGGCTATTCCTTGCAATTTTACAATGATGAGGTTAGAAATGTTTTGGAATGCCATCCAGAATAAGGCACCAGGCAGCAGCAAGAAGAAAGGCATGAGAAAAAAAAAACATCAAAAACCCATGAAGTTTTACAATAGATTCTTTCCCTCCCCCACCCCTCCCCTTTGTAAGAGCTTGGGAGAACACAGCTGATCATGCAAGACTGATTTTAATTCCCTGTTGTGCTTAAAATAAGAGAAAGTTGGGAATTCCAGTTTTCTTTTTGACCTTACAGTTGGGATCTGTAAACTCCTATTGGCCTATAATCTTAAAGATCGGAAGGTAAAAAATTGGACCTGGATGGTAAAAATACCAAGAGGTATGAGGATATGTACAAAGTAAGTGGCAGAAGAAATGCCACATCAGATAATCAGGACCATAGCCTCATGTTCTAGGTTGGTCTCCAAGATCTATTGAGTCTCTCATACATCAGATCAGATCTCTGCCTCTTCCGCTCCTGATGCCCTCCATATATGGAACCTGGAAATTCCCTCTGCTGGAAATGCTGAGAATTGAAGTTCAATATCTCTGAAGGGCTTGAAGCTGGAAAAGGTTGCATTTGACTGTGAATGAGTGGCTGGCTGACCAGCCAGCTGTCCTTCCATAATATATGAGCTTCTAGGAATCTGCCTTACACTACATTAAACCATTAAGGGCCACTGAAAGTTCTCAGGCCAACATTTTTTCCAGCTCTCCTAACCAGCTTGGATTTGGAATTACCTCATAAAAATCACATGCTCTAGCACTGAACATCGGCTCCTTGAAGCAACTGGCCTTTTGGTTCCTCCCTGATCTAGGATCCCATCAATTAATCTGGATTCTGTAATACCTTTCAATAAGAATATGGCAGGTTAAACAATGTTAAAAAGTGCTTAGTGGCCTTTGTTTGAGCCTCTAGAAATGATGTACTCACCAATCTCAAAACATCAAGATATACAGAATAATTAAAGGAATGATCCACAGCAAGAATAATCACTTCCAGAACTTTCATCTTTTGCTTAGATGAAATCCACTGGATGTTTGGCATTCAAACCTAGTTTTTCTCTACATTGACTGCACTAGATGCTCCTTCCCTGTGTTACTCACCAAAATGTCTAATGCGGTTGTTTATTATAAAGGTGACAGCCAAGGTGTTTTAGAACAGCCTTCCCAAGTTGGAGTCTTGCAAATATATTGTCTTACTGTTTCCATAATCGCTAGATTAGGGAAGGACAGACTGGCAACTGTTTCAGCAACTGGATGTTTGAGAAGGAAGAGAAAATATTTATAAATATTACATTGAAGGTGTGATTTTCCATTTCGGTTTTTTTAAATAAAAAATGAATCTCTCTTTCCCCTGCCCCTAATAAAGTATCAGGAATTAGATGCAGTACTAAAGATTGAAAAGCTATAGCATTGTGCAAGAGTTGTGAGAATGTTCTGTTCCCAAAACAGGCATGCTAGACAAACACAGTCCTGCAAAAGATTATAAGCTGAGGATCCCCTAAATAATATGAGCAATCAAGGCCTGATGAACCAAAAACACTCCAAAAATGGTTTCCATTCTCACATACATATATTTTGCTAACAGCTGAGGGTTGGCCTCAACATTTTCATAGACGGCTTTCTGATGGGAAAAGCAAAAATACTTGCCAGAAAGAAAAATGCTTAGTTGATACAATCTACTGAAAGTATTTCTTTCTTCTTTTTTTTCCCCTAGGCCAATAAAAGACAGAATACCGGACTTAGGGTTTTTCTGCCATTACTAACTGTGAGAATCAAAGGAAAAGACTAAAGAAATAACCTCAGAAGTCCCTTGACCTTTTCTGGGACCTATGTTGCTTACTGAAACGGGAAGAAGGATATCAGCCTCACCCAAAGTAGACTGGCAGCACTCTTGGAAAAAGGAGGAGCGTCAGAAATGGATAATTCAAAGTGCAGAGAAATACTCTCAGGATCCAATCTCTAAAAGAGTAAAAATATTTACTGACATAAAAAAAAGAACTTTGGATTTTCAAGGAAGAGCTTTCAGAAATGGTGGTGAATGAAACAGGAGCAGACTTAACCTACTCAACATAAAATGTCTTCAGCAAAAATAGTTTATGTGTACACTCTCAAAGTGACCAACTGATTTTTTCAAGCCAATACAGAATGCTTACAAACTAATCAAAGAATCTGTTTCTACCTCCTGCCCAATCTGTTTCTTGCAGAGAATTGGTCATTTTGCCCTTCCTCCACAAAATGAAAATATAAAGAGAATATTTCACCTGCAGTGAGTCTTAAACATAAACTAGGTTCATGTTGGATATAACTTGCAAATGACTGGCACAGATGCTGTGATCAAAGCATTTCTCATATCTTTGACTGAGAACACGTCCGTTGTTTTTATAGTTAAACATCAGATCAGCCCCATATCAAGTCACAAGCCACTGAGATGACAAACATGATATCACTATTTTGAGATTACAGAGTAGTCAGCTGTTTAGCACTGTTAAATATATGTCTGTTTGAACACATTTACATGGAAAAAAATCAATATTTCTCTCCAAAAGAAGCCATGGTTTGGAGTCTTGGGGCTTCCTTCACTGGCAATTCCTTGATTTCCCCATGCTTGCAATCTGCCTAATAGATTTTGAAAAAGACTTGATAAGCTGGGTTTGCCTAGATAGCACAGGGTACTTCCATATTGCAGGAAGCAGTGGTGGCTTTGTTGCACCAAGTTATAGGACCACCACCGGAAACAAAATTCCCTTCCTCCCCCACCTAGCTGCAAAGATGTCTAGTGTGTTCTGCTTATTAAATGTGCCCTTCCAAAGTGGCAGGTCTGAAGATTTATTTCTATGGAAACTGTCAACTGTCAATAGCTGCTAGAACAATGGGTGTTTTACATGCTCTAAACTTATTAGTCACTGAGTATTCAGAGGCAAGATAAGGATGGCTAAGGAGAGAAGAGGCCATAGAGACAAACAACATGGCTAGGAATTTATGAACAGTGAATGAATTAAGATCAAAAAATCAGAGAAAATGTCAATGGATACACCTGCCTTGTACATCTTTCACCTCTTCAGATGATGCCCTATGGTTCCTTTAAGAATAAAGTATCAAGATTGCAAAAGAAGAAGTGCTGGATTTACATGATAATCTTTTGTTTTTTAAACTAGGCCAACCAATATTTTCATAGAGATGGGACAATCTTTTAAGTTCCACTCTGTAAAGATTTTATGAAACTTAGAAGCTTGCCTCATCTTTAAACAGTCAATTAACCACAAGACAAGACATTTTTCTCTTCAATCCTCATGTCACTTATTCCATTAACAGCAGTGAGAGACCTGTCCATTCCTACTTCCCTCAAGGGTCAGATGTGGGGGGAGGGGAGGCAGTAAAAAAAAAGTCCCCCAAAATCAACCTGAGGTCAAACAGTCCACCCATGCCCTTTGCTTTAATTCTCTGTTTTCTTGCTTTCATCCTTCGGTGGAGCTTCAGGAATCAAGACGACTTTCCCAACATTCTTCTTCTCTTGCATCTGCTTCATGGCATCCACCACCTGCATCAGAAATAGGACCAGACCATTTCATTCTTCAGGCCTCAAGAAATATGACTAAGGAGAATACTTTGAAAGATATATATCAGCCTTGCCCAAATTGGTGCATTCTAGGTGTGATGGACTAGCAATACTCATCATTCCCTATTTAACATATACTCCCTGCTCACTAAAGCCACACATGGCTTGGGTATTTTTTTTAGCCATAACTGCCTTGAAAAAGAAGCAAATGCACGCGGGAGAGGGAGTGTTGATCAAGTGACTTAGCCGCTTGTTTACTCACTTTCTTCATACTTCCTGTCATCAGAAGGCCAAACACAAAGTCAGCCAAAAAAGGCTTTATACAACCTTCAACACCACTTTGCCCTTTACCCTTTCTTTTTATGGCCTTTGCCCTTGAAAAGTCTGCCTGACAGTTTGGGTAAAGCTGCCTCCCCCCAGCATTTAAAAGACCAAACAAAATGAATGTGATCTATATACTGCTGCCTTGGACATTCAACTGACACTGCTAGAAGAGTATGGCAGATGGCCAGCAGACATCTAGCATTTTGGAATCATTCCTTAAAGGTTTTGGTGCTAATTTTCTAAAAAGAGAAGTGCTGCGGTTGCAGCCTATAATGACGTCAGTTCTTTGGAGGGATAAACTAGGCTAAAAGCAATACATTTTTTTTTTTTTTTGGTGGGACACGGGATATGAGAAGAACTCATTGGGCTGCCAAGCATTCTCACCTGCTCAAAGGGCCAAACAGAGTCCACCTTTGGTTTGATTTTGCCCTGATTGTAGAGAGCAATTAGCTTGGTCACCACGGCAGTTAAGAGCTCTACTTCCTCATCTAGGTAGCCCAGGTGGTAGCCACAAACTGCTTTGTTGAGATGAAGCAGCTGCAGGGCATTGATGCTAAACTGGTTCCACCAGGTCTTTGCCATAGCCATCAGGTTCTTCCTCTGCCCTGTTAGCAAGTTGGCTACACCTACAAAATTGAAAAATACCCAGTTTAGCACCCATCATTGTAATAACCCTCGCAACTATGCCTGGAAGATCAAGATGCTTCTTTCATCAAAGGCAAGGTGCTGCAGCGTAGAAGCAGCCCACAGTTCTTGTTCCAAAGCTGTACTCTCACACCAGGCAGTTATGCTCCTCATCACTTAATAAAGTACTCTGCAAGAAGATGGGGACATTCTGGGCTGAACTAACGTCTGTCAGCCCAGCCCAGCCCAGCCCAGCCCAGCCTGCCCCTGCCCCTGCCTGGGGTTCTATACAAGCAGAGGAAAGTCTACTTCTACCTCAACAGCAGAAGAATAGCTACCAAGGGTGGGGTTTGGGGAAGAATTTCCCTTTTCCAAAGTCCCTTTTTCTGAAACCTGGCCTGTGGACATATTCAGTTCCTGGTTCCTGTAGGTATGCTCAGGCATATTCCAAAGCCACTGAAACAAACACAAATACTTCGGTTCACTGTTACAATTCAAAAGAAATCTACACTCACAGATGGTCCTTCCCAGCAACCAAAGAGAAAATTGATGGGAGGATACAATTCCTTTCCTTCAAGGCTTCTCTTTGCTTTCCAGAATTTGGAAATGGCAAGCCCTTTAAAATAAACTTCTCTATTAGGCCATGGGTTGGATGATATTAAGGATTAAAGGTGATAGTGCAAACTATTCACTAACATTACTGTTACCTTTTTAGTTTATTGGAATGGGAAATACTATGGTGGAAATGCTGGAAGGCTGATCACCACATCCTCATCAATACTTTCTGGCCTTGACCACACAGACGGATTTGGAATCATCAGAACATGAGAGGTTCAATTTCCACACAGTATATTATACAGAAAGATGTGACGTTTGATGGCATGGAAAGCTACTGAGAGGCCCAGAAGTGAGCGAGATCATCTCCTTCATCTTTCTCCTGGCATAGGCTGTCTGTCAGGGTAACTAAAGCAGTTTCTGTCCCAAATATTTTAGACCCTGAGATGCTGATACATTACTTTTGAATTTTAAGTGCCTGAATATTTAGCTTGCTTTTAGATAGATTAAACATTGCCTGAAACCAGTTTGAAATTCATCCTGTCTTGCAGAGTACCTACAAACTAATCACTAGTCTGGAGTATACAGACAGAACATGAGAATAGTGGATAGCTTCACTCTGCAGCAGCAAAAAGTAGCCTCTTGGGCTTTTCAGGGTTTAAAAGTTATCCCTCTCTCTCTCTCAGATGTCAGCCTCTGCATTCTATATGATGGTGAAAGGGTTTTGCCTGTGGGTGCAGAATTAAACTGTGTTCACTGCAGAGAAAAAGGGGAAAAAGTATTTGACAGCTTTGGAACTTGACTCCCACCTGCCACAATTTTCCATTACAGCTGCAGAATATTCAGTTCATTCACAAAAAGGGATACCCATCAGCGAATCTCAAGAATGTGTGGATAGGAAGAGCGTATAGTCACACAGGGGAGCGACTGGAACGCAATATAAAATTGCAGGGAAAGCACCTCTTTGTGGCATCTACTACATAGCCAGCCCCAGGAATGAGTCATCCTCAGAGCAGATGTTCAGCTTGCAGAACATACCCTTCAATTCCAGTTATGGTTCAATTGGTTTTAAAAACTGTTTTGCTGCTTGGTAAGTTCCCTCCTTGACCACATCAAGTCATTGAAACCAGGTTCACGGTCAGCAGCTAGAAACTTTTTCAGGCCTCAGGTGTCCTTCACATCCAAATCTTGTAAGATCGTATGCAAGAATGCTGCAGTTTCATTAGATCTGGCATTCTTGTGAGATCTCAGCAATTTTTCATTTCATAAAATAATTTTATTTCTGAAGGCTGTAGCCCTATGGGACCCACAGATGCTGGGTTGTTGACCCCTATTCTACAGCTGCTAATAGCACAGATCCACATAGTAGCCAGTCTATCTGCTCTGGGAATCCTTGATATTTGATTGTGGTTATCCAGTTCAGACCCCTGAAGTTCCCAATGTAAGGTATGAGTAAACAGCATTGTTACACAAATCTACCATCTTGTAAATTTCACTAGAGCATCCAGCTGACCACTATTAGAGCTATGGCCTGATTCAGACAACCAGTCCTCTTACATCATTACTTATTGTTTGAACTCCAGAGGATAAATCTTGACTCTGCAAAGTGACCTCATTTAGGCACGCTGATTCTCAAATTCCAGATCCAAGCTTTGGGACTTAGAAGATTTTAAGACTGAACTCCTGATGAATTTCAGCCACCCTTCGATGGGATGCTTCCTTACTCACCATAGGTGACTAGTTTACCCATTGGTTTCAGGAGGTGAAATCCTTTTGTGGTATCTGAACCACCCAAGGGGTCCAAAACAACATCTACACCTAAAAAGGAAGAGAGGAGAGCGGGGGAAACAGTCAGAAATTATTTAATGGGAAATTTCAATCGAAAGGAAACAAAATCCCCTATGTGGCATTTTTAGTTTAGCCAAGTTTCAACCATTTTAATTTCAATTACTTTAATTTTACTGTTAAGTCTTGGTAAAAGAAATGAATCAGCCTCCAGTATAAACTGACCATTTATTCAAATGTATGATTCAGCCAGCCATAAATCTGTAAGCAGTCAATAGTGTTCTCTCACATTCTATTTTTACTTTCCATCTACCAATAAATCTGTGGGTGCTGCCTATGATTTCAAACAATTTTCCCTTTTTTATTTCTTTTATTATTATAAGAATTTTAAGAAAAAAGAAAAACAATAATGCTGATACAAATGCCCATTTAAAAGAGTATAGGAATTATTGTAAGGGAGGGGAAAAACAGTATAAGCCTTAAAATACAGGTGGATAACTAAGAAAATTTGAATAACTAATTCTTATGGCTGATATATTCCAATACACCATTAACAATTTAAAGTAATATAAGACGTTTCATATCCCATTTCTAGTCAAAACATGACCCTACTGAAATGTAAAAATATTTAGTGGGCACAATTGAAATCACTAAGAAGAAAAAGAAAAGCTATAAATAAATAATACATTAAAAAAATACTGTAAGCAATGTGTAGGGCAGGCTATATTCCAGATTGAAATATAAACTCTGTAACCCAGATTTGAAATGTGGCACAATGTCATGTGTAGAATTGCAGTCCAAAAACGGTTTCCAAATAAGATTGAATGGTAAATCAGATTTATTTTTTAGATATGAAGTTGTTCTAGACATTGAACCATATTCCCACATCTTAGTTAACCATTCTTTCACAGAGGGGACAAATCTAAGTAACACTTGGCTCTTAAAGTTTGCTCCCAGTTTGGTATATTTTGGTTAGTCCTAATAAAGATATGGTCTGAGCAGGTTTTGGTAGGAATCCAATAATCTCCATCTTTGAAAGATTAACATAAATTAATAGCAATATAACAGCACCACCAACTCAGTTATTTATTTAAACTGATTAAAAAGGTGACCCTGATTTAAGCTGGACTGCAGTTATAATAGAAGTACATAAAAATAACATGTGGGCTGCCAACTTTGGAAACCAACATTTCCCTTCCCCTAGGAGAAAATGTCTCTTCTAATGAACCTGCACCAATCAGCATAATTTGTTCCTATCTAACATCATTTTTTCCCCTGATTCAGTGCCCATCCTGTATTTTGAAACATAAATCCCATCACCACCACTACCCCTGACCACGCTTTCTGTCTACATTATTTCTGCACATTTCTTCAGATTTGTTTCATTTAAACTCATATGATTTGTCATGCTCTGCAAATTAAAATCTAAACAATAAATAACTTCATTGGTGAATTCTTCATCTACTTTCTTTTCAGCTCTGATACCAGAATGTCACAAGCAGAAGCACAAAAAACGAAGGGAATTTCAGATCATCTTGCTCTACTCCTTCCCTTTCTTCCATCTCTTTGGGTACCTTTGGGAGAGATCTTCCGGACTTCAGCCACATAATCAGCTGCCCGGTAATCAATAGGGTGAGTCACCCCGTTCTCTCTGAGGGCCTCATGTTTGGAGGCAGATGCTGTGCCAAAAATGGTGACATTTTCCACAGTTTTGCACAGTTGGACTGCTGCAGTTCCCACACCACCTGGAGAAAACGGAAAGTGTATCAAGTGAGCAAGGAAAAAGGCCCACAAGCCAAAGAATGCCAACTTTTCCATTTATTAAAAAAAAAAATCAACATGGATTATCACCACTAAACTTAAATGTTTCTGTTCTAACCAAAGTTAAATCAGTGCAAGATATTCTCATCAGCACAATAAAATGGGCAAAGTATGAAGACAGCGTTAACAAACAGAAATGTATTTGACACTGTTTAATGATCCTGACTACCTTCCCACCACTATCTCTGAGAGCTGGATAGACTGTGAATGATTAGAACTTTTTGGAATAAGGAGAGGGATCTGTAAACCTCCAGCTGCTATTGGATCAACCCCACATCATTCCATATCAATTGATGGAGTCCAACAATAGGTTGGACTAAACCTAAATAGGTTTAGGTTCATAATTTCCCCATCTCAGCTTTACAGCATTATAATTCAGAGTTTGGGAGCAGAGAAAAATTAACATGTATCACATGGATTGAATGTCACATTCTTATATAACATACAGTGAACAGAGTGTCAGACAGTGGCTGTATTTGCACAATAAACTAAAGCAAGGGGAAGCAACCTTTGTGGGCTGGGAAGATACTTGGAACTTTTGAGTGCACATGGTGGGTACGCTCATAAACAGCTACTTATGGTAGGTTCAGCCAATCACAAAACTTAAAGCTATTCTGCCACATAAATATAAAGCTTGAGGCTGGTGTTTTTCTTTGCAGTATATCAGATTCCATTAAAAATAACAAAGGAGTATTTTTTATTTTAAAAAGTCAGAATCAGGAGGCCTAATGCATACCAAGGGAAGGCACCACACTGCCTATCTCTACACCAAGATTTGCTTAATTTACTCAATAGCCAGGTTCTCACAATACACTGAATTGTAAACTAACCACAATGGTTACACACTGTCCACAAACTATCCAACCATATATTAATTTCATGTCATGCAATATCTTAACCATTGTGGCTTATGAACCTTTTTTTCCCCTTAACACTATGTAGAAACAGGCCACTATGGCATGTCCAGCAAGCCAAAATTAAAAGAAACTATAGCTTAGAATGGGGTGGCCACTTTTCTGTGACCAAAGGCCATGAGTCACATTCCTTGACAGGCCGAGGTCATATTACACATAAGAGTGGTGTAGGTTTACAGAGTATGTTTTTGAAGTTTGTTTTTAAGCTATTAAATGCCCTTTTTAGGGTTGACATCAGAGTTTATACATATTTTCCATCTCAAAATGAGGTGAAACTTTGCCATCAGTTTTTAGCAATCATAATCACACACAGAGAGAGTTCGGGGCATATTGCTGTGAGGACTCAAGATTGCCCACCCACAACTTAGCAGCATTGTGAACCCAATTTATGAACGGGGAAAAATAAGATTCCAATCCCCCTTCCCCATGAAATTCACTATAGCTGGCTTTATAAATTATGTACAGCCTTGATTTTTAAACCATGGCTTAGTGAATAAACCACAAGTGGCTGGTTTACACAGAATGCTAAGACATAAACACAATTTAAAAACCATAACAATTGAATTCTCGTAAGTCAAAAATAAAGAAACCACATTCAGTTTAGCACAATGCATAAACCCAACTTATATGAGCTTGTGCCAGATGCTCTTTCATAACCTAAGCTATCTTACATCTATCTAAGACATGTTAATACCTTGTAGCTAAAAATCTCTCAAGGCAATGGACAAAAAAACCCAAGTAAAATGCTTGCGAATCAATGCCACAATAGAACAATCAGTTAAAAGTAGCAGAGGCAAAAAATGTCACCACACGAGCACTCTGAGCTCCTTAGAAGAAAGGTGGGATATAAATGTAATACGTGAATGCAAATATATTAATAGAACAGAAGAAGAATTCAAGGTGCACTTTGGAAGTGACTTTTGCCTCAAGCAGATTAGCAATACCTTGCGAGCACAGTAGGACACGTTTTTGTTACCTGCTGCCATGTGGACAAGGACACTCTGGTTGGGGCGCAAATTGCCAAAGTCAAAGAGGACCATGTAGGCTGTGATGTAATTGACCAGAAAGGCAGCTGCTTCCTCAAAACTCATCCCTTCCGGCATGAGAAAAGTCTGATTGGCTTGGACTGTTACAATTTCTTGCCAGAGACCTGACCGGGCCATCACCATCACCTTATCACCTACCTAGCAAAAGAAGAAGAAAGGTCATTGTCAGAACTGAGACACCCAAACACAAATTCAGGAGTATGAAAGGCTAAACTTGAAAATAGATTTCAAGCCACTCACTGCACAGCTCCAGGCAACCTTTATAAATGCCGAGTTGGCCCCATGTCTTTTACACTCTTCCAGTGAGATTTATCCATGAATATCAAGGTGCCATCCCATTTCCAAGTCAGCAGAAAAGGCATATGCTTACAATAGACATATGCTTGTACACTACAAGGCAAACTTGGGAACAATTCTTTGCTAGATCTATACTGTGTTAACACTGCTGAATATTAAGAAAAGGCATATAAAGCTCAAGCAAGAGCCTTTGAGCTGAGGCTTCTCAGTGGAAACTTTTTCCAGAATGGCTTTAATTCAGGAAATTCACTTTTTCCCTGAAGACTCCTTGACGGTTCAGTTGACAAGGGGGAAAGGTTTGAATCCTTGTGTATTGCCTCAAGAGGCAACTGTGCCCTCTTGGATGTTGTGCTACCTAAATAGGCATCATCAACATTAACTGACAGGCAGCTCTTCCATTAACGGTCCTACTGGATTTCAGACTAGAACTATGTGATCAGCTAATAATGTATATTTGAAAAGAAGTCTGCATGTTTAGATAGATAGAAACAGTGTTTCTCATAGAAACAGTGTTTCTCATCCTTGGCAATTTTAAGATGTGTGGACTTCAACTCCCAGAATCCCCTAGCCAGCCTTGGTGACTGGAGAATTCTGGGAGTTGAAGTCCAGACATCTTAAAGTTGCCATGGTTGAGAAACACTTCCGTAGATACATGATGGAAATTGCCCATCACTACCCCAGGAGCTTGATTCATTTACAAATGAATACATGATGCCTTAGCACAATACATGCCTCATTTATGGAATCCGTAGTGTTGAGATGTTTTCTGGATTAATTTATTCAAGCAGTGGATGAGATGAATATTTGGGGGGGGGCAGTCTATTAATGTCCAGTCAGTCTCAAGAGCCAAACATATCTCCATCATAAAAACAGTTGATTTTAACCCAACTACACTTTTACCCAAACTGGCAATCTTTCAAATATGTCAGACTACAAACGCCACCATCTCCTTTCCTCATGGGATGATACGATTCATGGTACAACATTTATAGTAGGTACTGGGTTGGAGGAAGGCTTCATGTCAAAAGAACAACCATTCAGGCAAACTAATCTTTTTTGAAGCTGCTCCTAAGAATTCGCCACAATGAGTTTCTCAGAAGAAGGAACAAGCAAAGAAAGAGAAGTCATTCATCATCCCCAAGCATTCCCTGCAAAGGAGGACATGACTCAATGTATTCTCAGTAACCTTCTCCATGTAGACAATGCAGTGGTGGGGTCTCACATACGTACATGTTTCTTCCAGCGTATTTCTCAGATTCATTTGCAACTTGTAAATTTGTGTAGATGCACAAGGGTTTCAAGGGATAAGTCAATTCAGAAAACTTTAAAACAGTGTTTTTCAAACTTGGTAACTTTAAGATGTGTGGACTTCAACTCCCAGAATTCCCCAGCCAGCATGCTTAAAACCAATCAAGCACCTAGCATGGATAAGTTCTTTGCTTCTTGGACTCATGCTACATTACAGTGGCAGGGTGCAAGGGCTTCTGGAGGTGACTGTGCAAACAATACATTCTTCTGGCAGCGCCTCCAGATTTCCGCCAGCTCACCATGAAACTCTCCTTTTGAAAGAAAACACCACCATTTCCTCTGCAAAGAGGAAATCCTGTGTTTATCTGGCTCTGGTATCAGGAAAAGAGTATGATTGAGGCCTGCATCCTTCACCTTCTGCATGAACTGCCGTCTCCAGTAGACTCATAAATACTCTGGACACGGGTTTAAGATCAAAGAGCAAATTTCACCCTTCACCAAATTAAGAAATGTTTATTTCCAGAGCTACATACACTCTGTTTAGTAGCTGGCTATGCATATTTATGAAAGTTATAAGTGTTTGGAGTTTGGAGACAGAGTGAAACTGTTGATGTTGTAAGGCTGCATTTCCTAATGCCCTTTTGTCACCTCTCAATGGGTTTACTGCAGTGCACTCCGCACTGGCCTGCTGTTGAAGAGCATTTAGAAATGACAGCCTCAGTACACCCATGCAACATCTCTACTTCAAGAGCTGCACTGGTTACCAGGAGCAGTTCCAGGTGCTGGGTCTGCTAGTTGTTCAGTGCAGGTGAAGGTTCGGGAAACTGCCCTTCCATGTTCAGGTGAATTACAGCTCCCACCATCCCTCCCTAGAGCTGTCAGGAGGTGTAATTCACCTTCCCACGGATGGTGTAGACATTACTTTGCTTTCAGCTGGGTGCGGAAAAAAAACGGTTGTGCCTGCCACAGTTACGAAAGGAAAATCTATGCTTAAGTCATATTATGTCAATTTATCTCCAGATAAATTGGAATTACAGTTTCCAGAATTTTCAACTAGGCTGGTCATTCAGGAATTAAAGTCCCAATGTATCTGGAAGGCAGCAGCATGAACTATTACTACAGATATGTTTTTTCCTCAAGCTACAGAGCACTGCTGAAATGGAAAGAAAACACAGTTCAAATGGTAATCCTATCTTGAAATGACAAACATTAGTTACAAGGCTATTGTTCAAGCACCAAGTCATGAGCTTGATTTATGAAACACGGCAGTCAAAGACAACGTATTAGCAAAAGCAGCACTTGATCATTATTCAGTTGTGTTTCCTTCCGGTTGAATTCCTTCCGCATTGTTCTACAGCTCCTGATAGCCGAAGTATGCAGAAGAACAATGCCAAGATTTCCTTTCCTGTTCTTCTATTCCTTTTAAAATTCTGCATTCGTTTTAGTGAGAATTCCAAACATTCTTGACATGATTTTTTTTTCCAGGAAGAATACAACTTGTGGAAAGCACTTCCTAGAGAAACATACCCAGTATCTCCTTTACTATCTTTAGTTTTAATATAATTATTGTGAGGGTAGCATCTGACTTATTTCCTGTAAGTACACTAGTAGTCTTGTGGCTTTTTTCTCTTAACCGTTTGCCTCCTGCCCCCTACATTTTAAAGATTTATAAGCCATAAAAGTCAGTTAGCAGATTCCAAAAATGGGTTCAATACCTCTAAGAATTTATTCTTTAAGAATTCCCAAATTCACTAGATTTTTTTCAAAATATTTCCAGCCTACCTTTAATATAATAAAACAATATCAGTTTCTTAGGACTGGTCTTGACAGCCAGATAATACATTTACATGAAAAGGAGGAATCAGTAGTTCTGGGAGAACACATTGCTGAATGAATGAATGAATGAATGAATGAATGAATGAATGAATGAATGAATGAATGAATGAATATAAAAATTCAGTGGCAAGGACTAATTAGGATAAGAGAAAAATGGAAAATCAAGGGTTGGGGAATGAAACAAAGTGGTTGAAAATGTGAACAAGCCATTTCTATATTGCAGTGTTTTGTTACAGGGCCTGCTTGCAATGTGATTAGTGACTGCAAGCAAGGAGAAGACAACAAAACATAAACCAAAATTAATCTTTCCATTGCTCTTCTTCTGAAGGCCAGATTAAGACAATGCCCTATTCTCTTTAAAAGGTAAAGAGGCAGAAATAATTACTAAACACCAGGGAACAGTGTCTGAGATCTGCTGCCTGTCTGTTTCCCCAGCATGATGCCCATTTATTCTATGTAGCAAAAAACTAGATGTTGTCTATTGTAGAAATGATGGTTGCCAAGCTTATTAATACTCCTAGCAGTTCAGCCCAGATTTTTCCTTCCTTCTGCAAGAATCCAAAATCCAAAATATAACACACGTATTGAACTGGATTGAACTCCCAGTTAGGCAGATGCTGTTGCATATTTCCAGATGAGGATTTCATTATCCAATTGCCTCGCCTCATTCATGACATTTTATAAGAGGTCTAGACAACATTGCCTTATACTTGTTGCTTTCTTACATTTGACCATCATTTATTCCATCTTTCTTCTAATTGCAGAAACATAATTTAGAATACCTAACGTTGTCATGTAAAATCCATTTCAAATACCCATAGATTGGTAGCACTAGGAATCCTTTATCTGGAAGCATGATCTAGGTACATTCTTACAATATGCTAAGCCAGTTTATGGTTTGCCTTATTGCATCAGGCAAATCTGAGAGACAGCAGAAATTGTCGTTAAACTGTAGAGCCTTCATCACAGTCTGAAACCTTGACTGCTTGTACCCATGATATGTGATGGCTACTGAAATTAACCAATAATTAATTCTCCTTCTGGCCTCCAGAAATAAAGCTGCATGGTAAAAACAGTGGTAAAGTGTGCTTGCTAATCTGGCTTCTTTGTCACAAGGTGCAGTTGGTGGGGCAGGGAGACTTGGAAAATAAGATGTCAATAAAAGGATTAGCCTTTCCTTGTGGATAGTGGCCCCCACATGAATCAGGCCGTGGACAAGTGTACTTTTGCCCCATAAACAGAAAAACAAAACTGAAAATAAGATCTGGCCAGCCACTCCAAATGTCACCAGAAAGGAGGAGTTGCACATCATTGCTGGCAGTGTTTTGATGCACCATCTGGGACACATACTTTTCCTGCACAACATCAAGCCACAATGTAGCCAATCCATACCGGGTTGTGCAAATCCAATTGGTCTGATTAGTTTACGGTTATGTGCATTGCGCAAATCCATAAAACCTGGTTACTTGGGAAAACAATGATTAACCATTGTTAACATAAACTTGTTCTGCAATTGCAGGCTATGGCAAACCTGCATTACTCACCGTTAACACTACATGCAGTTTAGCATTCCCTTTTCTCTCTCTACATCCTATAACCATGTTTCTCAAACTTGATGACTTTCAGATGGGTGGACTTCAACTCCCAGAATTCCCCAGCTAGTATGGCTGGCTAGGGAATTCTGGGAGTTGAAGTCCACCCATCTGAAAGTCGCCAAGGTTGAGAAACATTGTCCTATAACAACAGACAAGTACAGT